AAAAAAACTATATTTTATCTATTATTTTCACTAATGAATCTCTGTTTGGGTTTGGTTAATTTGACCGATCTCGTAACCACCATAAAAAATTAGGAAATAAATATAAATTATGCTTTTTTTTCTAGAATGACTACAAATTATAATACGAAAAAACAAATGTTTAGACTAAACAGCTTAAATCTCATAACATTATACATTTATAGATATTTATTATTTTTATTATATTGACCTTTCAGCCGTACCTGCCTAATATTAACAATACAGAAGTTACAATGATGTGGCACTCATGTAACCTTATCCAATAATATAAAACTGACCTTTAGTCTTTGTAAAGTGACTTGTCTTGGCTGTGTTTTAGTAAATTTAGTTTATTAAATACAGTCACATTTCAATTATTATACATTATATATGTATATACATTATTACTATTTGCAAGTAAATGCTTTAACTTATTTTTTTTAAAACATAGAACAGTAAATAAAAAAAAGTGAAGCAAACAATTATCTCTTTTACTTGCGATCTTTGTACTCATTTGCTGCTTGTCAGATTGCTAAGCCTTATAAAATTTCACACATAGAGGATGTGAAAAGAAATCATCTTTTTAAGTTTTATATATACATTTGAAGTAATAAAAAAATCATAAGTTACTATATCAATAACACAGAATTCCACTATAATTTATCAAGCTTAGTACTTAAGCTGTGTTTGGGTCTAAAAAAATATGAAATTTCAAGCAGACTAAAGAAAAAGGTGAGTGGGGTCACTATGGTTGATTCAGTACATGAGAGATATCTCAGCAAATAGAAAAGGTAGGAGGTTTTTATTTTATATTCTGGCTTGTCAATATTGGTAATTCGAGTTCCTAATTCATATAAAACTATAGACATCACAAACATCTAATCTGAACTAATGCTACATTCAACATACCACGTGACACACACAAATCGGTGTTTAGGAATGTTTTTTTAATATTTAATTAGAATTTATATATAATTTATTTAATATTCATTTTTTCTTTAAATGATGTAACACAAAAATCTAGTGAAAAATACATTAACAACAACAACAACAAACACTTATAACAATTTCTGAGTGGTTTATCAGAGTAACTAAAGTTCTATTGGCACTCTTTCATGAGTAATATATAAACATTTTAAACATGATTTTTCTCAGCACAACTTAAAGATGAGAAAGCACTCCTTAAATCTTTGCATGTTTGTTTGTTTTCGAATTTTGCGCAAAGCTACCCGAGGGCTATCTGCGCTAGTCATCCCAAAGTTAGCAGTGTAAGACTAGAGGGAAGGCAGCTAGTCATAACCATTCACTGCCAACTCTTTTACCAATAAATAGTGGGATTAACCGACACATTATTATGCCCCCATGGCTAAAAGGGTGAGCATGTTTAGTAGGATGGGGAATCAAACCCGTGATCCACAGATTGCGAGTCGAGCACCCTATACCACCTGGCCATGCCGGGCCAAACCTGTGCATACAAAAGTCCACTAAAATGGGGAATACAACAGATGTGACAATTCATCATGTGTCAATTCTTTGACAATGTTTTGAGTTTGACTAGTATATTATTAAAATTAGTTTTTTATACAATAACAATGGTAAATATAATCAACACTATAGAATAGAAAACATAATATAACAAATAAAGATTAAAATAAAAAATTTCATTTTTCTATTGTGGAGCCTCTATAAGTGAGGGTCTTGGTGCAGCTTCACCACTTGCACCTGCATAAGGCCATCCTAGCATACAACTGATGGAAAAACTTGCTTTACCATACAATATCTTTATTCTCTTCCTGTTCAAAAACTACTTAGCATTCACAATAAAATATTGTTGTTCAATTACTTAATTCTTATTGTCAGGTGCTACAAATAGAAAGTATAAGTAACTTATCACACTTAAAAATATTATGTAAATAGTACTTTAATATTCAGTATTACACAAAAAACAAAGTAAAAGATTAGTAACTGACTTCTATATACAACAAATGAGTTCATCCTTAATTAATATCTTGTTAACTAGATATCAAACATAAAAATTATTAAGTACATAAATAATGACCCTACCGATAAGAGAATGCCTACCCTCATTTGGCCTGTTGTTGGCAGGTTTTCGTGTAGCCCAGTTTGTCCTAATAGCCCTTGTTCCCAGCCACTGCCCATTCATTTGAGCAATTGCATTTTCAGCATCCTAGAAGATTGCAATGCATAATTTACTGAAGAGTGAACATGTCCTTATCAAAAGGCATCATCACATTTTACATCCTAGCCTCTAGAACCCGTGTGGGTAGCCCAATGGCCATTTCGCAAAAATGTGTGGCTAACTCGTAGAATAATTGATAGTGTGTTTTTTAGCTGGTCAGAGAAACAGAATGCCAAATCTTTCATTGAAATTTCACAATTTTTTAATTTTGAAAAAGTATTTTTTTTGTACTTTTGCATTGCGTTTATAATTGACCTTGACTGTCATTAGAATCCTGATATAAATTTATTTTGTGAAAATTTTCTGCTTTATTAATAGTGTAGCCATTTCTGTGATTAACTGGCCAGGAAAAAAATATGGTTGCCCACCCAGGCTCTAGAAGAATTTGATAACTCCCCCCCCCCCCCTAAATTTTACATCCTCTAAGATTAATGCACTGTTTCCTAACAAGAACTTCTTCAACAATGTATCTTCTAATAAGAGTACTTACAAATTAACTTTTTCTTTTTCATATTTCACACTAGAGCTGGGTGACTTAATTGATCAATCAATATAATCAATTACTTGTAAGCAGCGATTACATCAATTAGTGTTCCATAAACTAAGTGATTAATTGTAATTAATCAATTGATGTGACAAAAATAATCAACTAATTGAAGTTAGTATTTCCTATTATTACCATTTTTGATTATCCAACAATTGATTAATCGAATTTCCAATGAAACTGATTGTCATAAAAATAATCAACTAATTCAAATTATGGTTTTTAATTATTTCGATTTTCCAAATAGTTGAAATATCGCCATTATATTTGTTTATTGTTAAGCACAAGCCTATGCAATAGGAGGGTGGGGGAATGCTTTGTGATTTGGTAATGATTCCCATTGCCACTATATATATACTATTCCTGCCTTTATTATTACAAAGTTACTAGAACTATTTGTCACTGTCATTAATTTTGAACTGCTGACTAGAAGGAAGACAACTGGTTGGTAATACTCACCTCCACACTACTTAAGTATTAAGCAAAGTGTAAATTTTACTGTTATTTACACTGTTATGTTTTTAATTTAAAAGTGTATAACAGTATTCTTTAATAGTTGAACAGAGTTGTTTAAACATTTGTTTAACAACAAGTAAAAGCTTGGAATGGTCTATTCTCTCATTAGGTGTGTGTTTGTGGACCAGACTAGTTTCCGAGAATTCCACTCCTCATCAGTGACTCTGGACATGACCACAGAATGAAGCTTCAGACCAAACCAACCTTTATAGTAGTGAGGTATCGAAAATTGAAATGGTGTTTTACACTTACAAAAAAGAAACCTATCATTCTATAGGTATCTGAAGAACTTGTATTCTTTAATATTGTATAAGCAGGCACATGTCTGAGGGAGAGGCCCAGATCCCCATCCATTTTTGTTCCACAAATTAATAATCATATTCTGTAATGTTGTATAAGCAATCATAGTTCTAGTGAAGTGGGCCAGGGAAGCAAACCCCATACATTTTTTCAGAAATTAATAGCTATATTATTTAATGTTGTCTAACCAAGCATCAACTTAGGGGAGGGGTCCAAGGGAGGTCGAAACCACTGATCTCTATATATGGATTGGTTGCTACATACCACCGGTTGAAGAAAAATTGCCATCATCATAAAACTAAAAGTCATAGAATAATGAATCACACTTTGTGTTTTGTTTTTTTAATTGTTCTTTTTATTTGTGTTAAATTTTAGCATTTGTTGTGAGTATAAAGATTGTAGTTTTATTTTATATGGAAACAATTTTAATTCTATACTGTCTAAACATAAATGAACTGAAAGAGCTTTCATAGTCATGATAAACAATTTAGCATTTACAAATAAATCACTGAATGTTTTTATTTTCAAATTAAATGTGTAAGTTCAACTTGTATACAAAATCTGATAGTAATAAATAACAATTCAGTGACCTTCCAGTTAATAAACACCAGATTTTATAAATTTGGTGAATAAAGCTAGGGTCTATGATATATCTAGATTTAAATGAGAAATACAAAATCTTTTTTTTTATGGTGTAATGAAGTGGACCTTAAGTAAGATAAATGTTCATTTTATGAAAAAAAAGTTGTTGTTTTGTTATTATACACATAGCTACACTAAGGGCTATCTGTGCTCTGCCCATCACGGATATCGAAACCCGATTTCTAGCAGTATAACTCTGCAGAAATAACACTGTGCCACTGGGTGGCATGAAAGAAAGAAAGCATTATTACTTGTTTTGGGGCTGTAGCAGGGTACTCATTTGTGTTTTGAATTATTGGTCCACAAGAATTATGTGCAAGTTTATTTACTTAAGCTTATGGAAAGCAGCATATGATTTGATAATAAAACAGTGCTTTTTTTATATTATGATCTTTGAAAAGATCTATGCCTATAAATTAAAATTTAAAAGTATCCTTTGTAATACAAATGTGATTTAAAGAAGACAAAAATGTTATAAAAAATTGTGTATGAATTGAAATACTTAATAATGATTGGTTGGTCTTCATCAATTGTCTCAAGATTAACTGTACTGATTTTAAACACATACAGTATGTGTCTCAAGATAAACTTTATTGATTTGCAACACATACAGTATGTGTCTCAAGATAAACTTTATTGATTTGCAACACTTGGAGTCTGTCTCAAGATAAACTTTATTGATTTGCAACACTTACAGTA